AATCATTTTTCAAAAGCACATATGTCGGCTCAATCACATGGAGTGGATCTAGTAAGTAATCCCAAAGCATTGAAACATGAAAAACATTGTGCATATTTTCCATCACCGGAGATAAGGCTACTCAGTATGTTACTGAATTGATTTTCTCTAAAACTTCATACGGGCCAACATATCTTGGTGTTAGCTTTCCTTTCACTCCAAATTGTGTTTGACACTTCATTGGAGTTACTTTTATATATACGTGGTCACCAACTTCATATTCCTTATCCCTTCTCTGGACATCCGCATAAATCTTTTAACGGCTCTATACAGTTTTCAGACGTTGTTGAATCAGTTTCACTTTCTTAGTTAATTCTTGCACAAGTTCTAGTCCCAACAATGGTCTATCACTTACCTCAACCCAACAAATTGGAAATCGACACTTTCTACCATACAAAGCTTTATATGGGGCCATACTGATACTTGAATGGTAGCTATTATTATACATAAATTCAGCCAATGGCAAGTAGGTCTCTGTAGACTACCTGAACTCGCTCCCCGCGCCCCCCTTTCGGAGAGGGCGCGAATTGTAGTTCTAGCTACTACAGTTTGGACTCCTGTCACGGTTCTGAATCTAATTTCACAAAGTGCAATATAAGACTGATAAATCACCAAAGAGTCCAAATCCAGTAATTGGTTTTGAAAAATCAATTTTGAATCAAAAAGCACCAAACATGGACTGCTTTGCCAGATTTCAGAGTCGCCACCTAAATATTTTATTTTGGAAAAATTTAGGAAACCCTGACTCGTGCCTAAGGCCACGTGTCCATCATCACCAAAGTTGCCTCAGCTCGGGAACTTGGGTACGAGAGGGGAACATCTTGAAATGAGCACCCCTGCTCGCCCGATCAAAGGATCGGCCTCTACTAACATGATATGTTGTTTTTGAAAACACATGTGTTCTTATTCCGATTTATTTAGCGAACTTACTATGTGATGCGCACAGCATACAAGTATAGACTAAATCACTCAATTTGGAATAAAACATCTCATGTTTGTTTTTCTAAAAATGGTTTGGAAGTGCTACTCGCAAGTAGCCTAAGATGCGGATTTGCCACCCTCAAGTGGGCTTAGAAAAATATGATTTGTCACTCTCAAGTGGGCTTAAAACACACATTTTGATGAATTGTTCCAATTCAAACAATGAAGCCTTCATCCACAGGCATTCAAGCAGTTACAGCAGTTAAGCACCTAGCCTCATGGCAAGCATGGTAAACATGACAACACTTACACGCATGCAAGGATGCTAAAGCATAAACACTCACAGTGTACTCCGAGCCAAAACAAAAGCTATGTTAGAAATCATGCATAATCCTAGCTTATGTTGAGATGCCTAATGCAACACATGCAAAAATACAACTAAGATAGGCTCGGCTACCTAGAATGGCATATGAATGCAACTTGATAACATGTATTCAAATAGGTATTGAAATACAATGTAGTTTGAATGATGCGCCGAGCCCAGTGCATGCAAGACAAATGAATGATGCACGCATACGAGCATAAGTATGCTAATTGAAATATGCCCTAAAACTAACCATCAAAAGCTGATAAGTAAAAGGGAGAAAGAAATGGGGTTGGAAGACATGCATCACACACACGCACACTTATTACAAAATTTGCCCTCTCGACGGAGGGTCCGAATGATAAGTTAAGCTAATCTAAGCTAAGCCACTTAACTAATCTAATAGTCTAATTAAACTAATTATTACACAACATAAATGAATAGCTAAGTGCATTAACTACTTAAGTACTAACCAAATAGTTAGCTAGCTAAGAAAAATAGTTAAAAGGCCTCAGGACGAGGGATGCATGCTCGGTCGGCTTCGCTCGGAAATCCACTACTGTGCCTCATGATGCCTATGTTTGCACTCTTTTGGACTTTTGAAAATTGTGCCAACTTCCAAGATGCTTCTGATCCACATTAGGAACATGTTGAGGGGTGGTCGGCCAAGAGGGATGGCCATCGGCCAGAGCTTATGGCTATCGGCCAATTTTGATAGCCAATCGGTAGACTTGGTGGCTAGTTGGCAACTTTGATGGCCGGTCGGCCACTGCTTCCTGCAATTTCTCCTTTTGCTGCAACATAGTACAAACAGAGGCATGGCAGTGTATTTTCAAGGTATGTGTGCACAAATACCTTCCCTATCATTTCTCATGCTCAAGGGAGTGTAGTGCTTGACTCTCGAGCCACCAATCACGCATCGCAATGCACGATGGCCGAGAAGCCAAGTTTGCACAATTTCAATGTCAATGAATGCACAAATAACACCTAGGACTCGATGAACCTCCACCTTATCATGAATGATCAAAGATGTTGGTGACCTAAGGAATAAGGCACGTTTCATCACTTTGGGTACGAAACGTTCCTCATTCCTCGTGTTTGGATCAATGTTCAATCCAAGCACAATGCAATGCAACAACATGCAAACAACATGAACATGGCAAGTTAGAGTCCTTAAGCATGGAAGCTAGTGAAGGACGCAACACAAGGGCTATGTAATGCAATGCTCAATGGACCAAACCATCCCCAAATAGACCTCATGCATGCCAAGACAAAGGCCTAAGCATGTTGGAAATGAAGCTCAACGGACTAAACAAACATGCATACATGTTAGGCCACAAACAAGGCACAATGCTCAACTCTCAAACACAATTAAAGAGTGAAAAACATGGAAGTGTGACAACACTATATACTCTGAAATATCATTCCAAATGATGCCAAAACATGCACATATGACAAATGATGCATGCTAGAAGGCTCAAAGCTTAAGGCTAGCAAAGGTACTTGCACCATAGCCATATCAAGCAATCCCCAAAGGGCCAAGGTGACTCAAAACAGTCCCAAGGCAGGTCAAAACAAGGCCAAACACATGCTTGAACATAGCCAACATATGCTAGAATAAAATGGATGAAACATAGAGCATATAAGGCCAATGAGCATGATTACGCCACAAGTGTAAGAAGCAAATGAGGGATGCTCAAACCAACCAAAAACATAGTTGTATCATGGCAAAATAAGGCCAAAAACACACTGAAATGGTAGCCCAAAAGCTTAGGCAAGATGACATACATATTGGCTCATGTTTAAGGCATAAATCATAACTCTCCAAAAACATTGAAAGAGTAAAGCATGAGAGAGTATGTCCACACTTCATACACTGAAATCACATACCAAATGATGTTAAATCATGCAAATAGCCTAAGCAATGCATGCTAGTGACTTGGAAACTCAAAGCTAGTGAGCAAGATTGCACTATAGCTATACAAAGCAAGGCATGCATGACCAAAACAACTTCAAATAGAGCTTAAGCATGGCAAAACATGAGTAAAAGCTTGCTGGAGTGAAGCCAAAAGCATGCTAAAATGATAGTCCAAAGCATGATGCATGGTAAGGCTATAGGGAAGGTTGCACTACAAAGGTATGAAGCATGCAACAAGTGATCAAACAAACCCAAAACAGAGTTATAACATGTTAGAAAAGTCACAAAAACATGCTAAGATAGAGCCTCAAGGAGGTAGAAAAACATGCTAACTTGGTAAGCCAACAACACAAGCAAATAAGGTACAAAAGGGGGGGACCACCCCCACCTATTTGGGTCCTCAAAACATACTTTCCATCACTGAATCAGTGGTCAAAAGGCCAAGACAAGGTGATCTCAAAGGCCTAAAGAGGTGGCATAAAACAAAGCATAACAAGCCACCAAAGAGGGTAGACTACCCCTAACTCAAACCAAGCCTCAAACAACCATTTTTAATACTTAAAAATGAAACTTTTTGCAGTTTAAAGTTAGGCCTAAAACATCATGCAAATAGGGCCAAAGACTGAAGCAAAACAAAACTTTAAAGAGGGTGAAGACTCACCCTTGAAGAACAACTTCAAAGCAGCAACTTCTGAGGCAAAACTAATCTTAAACCACTCAAATACAACCTCCAAGAACCTCAGCTCAAGAGTGAAGGTGTTTCACTAGGTGCTTAGGTGCAAAAGTGTGAAGAAAAACCAGTTTAAGGCATAAACAAGTGCAACTGTAGAGAGAGAGAAAAATATATATAGAGAGAGATATCTTGTCTCTAATGCAAATTTTAGAACCTTTGGAAAGGGAGAGGGACCTCCCCTTTTATAGAAATCTAAGTCTCAAGCTTGTTGAACAAACTAGAGGCTTGGTGCAATCCCTCCATACACGTGTATGAAGGATGAATTTTATGCTCACCAGCTGGCACAGCTGGCAACAAAATATCTGCAAAAGCAAATAAAAAGGTCTCGGCCAAAAAGGTATGGCCACCACTGATGGCCGATGGAAAGAGGGTACGGTCGATGGACACGGGGTCTGGCCGATGGGTTATAGGGCTGGCCAGAAGGCCATCCCCTTCCCTCAGAAACAAAGCCACAAGCTCTTGGTCCACAACCAAGCACAAAACAGACAAGTTGAGAGGCTCCAAGGCAAGGCGATAGCCGAGACCTTCAGGAACTCAAAACGAACACGAGCATAGATGATCATCGAGTGTTCAAACGATGACGTCCAAGTCTTAAGGACGGTCAAAAATGGGGTGTCTACAGTCTCCTAATTGCTTTGAAAGTCTAACACACACATCCGTAACATGTCTTCCAATGTTTGAATGGTCCGTTCAGATTGACCGTCTATCTGTGGGTGATAAGCACTGCTTAATCTCAGCTCAGTCTCCAAAGCTTGTTGCAAACTTTTCCAGAATCTTGAAATAAACTTGGGATCTCTGTCAAACATTATGGACACTGGAACTCCATGTAATTTCACAATATCATTGACATACAAGTTAGCCAACTTATCCGCATTATACAAAGATTTAACAGGTAAAAAGTGAGCAGATTTAGTTAAACAATCAACAACGACCCAAATAGAATCCATACCTCGAGAAGAGCGAGGCAGCCCTACAATAAAATCCATGGTAATATGCTCCCATTTCCATTCCAGTATTGGAAGCAGCTAAAGTAATCCAGTGGGTCGTTGATGTTCAACTTTAACTTGTTGGCAATGCAAACATCGGGCCACAAAATCAGCGTTGTTTTTTTTCATTCCAAGCCACCAGAAGTTTTGTTTCAAGTCATGGTGCATCTTGGTATTCCCTGGATGTATAACAAACTTTGAATTGTGAGCTTCGGTCATAACACGTTTTCTCAAATTAGAATGGCCCGGTATACAAAGTCTATTATAGAATTTCAGCACACTATTCTCTGTCACAAATCCCAACTTTGGTTTTAAGCCAATCTCCTTAATGATTTTCTTCAAGAACTCATCTTCACATTGTTTCTCTTTAATTCCTTCAATGATAGCAGGACGAGCAGAAATGGCAACCAAGATCCTGCCTTGTTCACGCAACATAATTTCAATCTCATTCTTTTCCAAGTTGCACAACAACTCTCTTCGACCGGTGAACAAACATGACAAATTCCTGATAGATTTTCGGCTCAATGCATCTGCAAAATCATAGTCCTTGATCAATTCTAGCCATCTTCTCTGTCTCATGTTTAGCTCTTTTTGGGTAAAGAAATATTTTAAGTTTTTATGATCTGTATATACTTCACAAGTTACTCCATACAGATAATGGCGCCAAATTTTGAATGTAAAAACCACAGCTGCAAGTTTAAGGTCATGGGTCGGGTAGTTCTTTTCATGTGGACGGAGCTGCCGAGAGGTACAAGCAATTACCTTCCCGTTCTGTATTAACACATACCCCAAGCCTTTGTAAGAGGCATCACTATAAATCTGAAATCCATCCATTCCATTAGGCAAAGTCAGAATCGGTGCAGTTACCAGTCTAGTTTTCAATTCTTAGAAGGTTGACTCCCATTGATTGTTCCAGTCAAACGGTGTATTTTTCTGTGTCAACTGTGTCAATGGCATGGCAAGTTTCGAAAAATCTTTTACAAATCTTTTGTAGTAGCCGGCAAGTCCCAGAAAACTTCTGACTTCAGACACATTGGTTGGTCTTGGCCAATCAACAATAGCCTCAATTTTCTGTGGATCCACTAATATACCATCTTTGTTGATTACATGACTAGAAATACCATGTTGTCAAGCCAAAATTCACATTTGGACAATTTTGCATACAATTTCATTTCTTTCAAAATTTCTAGAGTAGTTCTCAAGTGATTCTCATGTTCTTCCTTGCTTTTAGAATAAATCAGGATATCATCAATAAATACAACGATAAATTCATCGAGATTTTGTTTGAAAACCCTGTTCATTAGGTCCATAAAAGCTGTTGGTGCATTTGTTACCCCAAACGGCATGACAAAAAATTTATAGTGCCCATATCTAGTTCTGAATGCTGTTTTCTCTACATCTTCTGCCTTAACCTTTAACTAGTGATACCCAGATCTAAGGTTTATCTTGGAGAACACTTGTGCTCCCTGAAGTTGGTCAAATAGGTCATATATTCTGAGTAATGGGTATTTGTTCTTAATAGTCACTTTGTTCAATTCCCGATAGTCTATACATAGCCTCAAAGATCCATCTTTCTTCTTGACAAACAAAACTGGAGCACCCCAAGGTGAAGTGCCCGGGCGGATGAATTTCTTGTCTAAGAGTTCTTGGAGCTGAGTTTTTAATTCTTTCAATTCAGAAGTTGACATTCGGTATGGGATTTTAGAAATTGGTTGTGTTTCGGGTGTTACATCAATGATGAATTCAATTTATCTATTAATTAAGTCCCCTAGCAATTCATTCAGAAACACATTGGAAAATTCACAAACAATAGGAATGGTTCCCACATTAGAACTAGCGGAAGTCTCAGTCAAAACACAACATACATAACCCCTACATCCCTTCCTAAGCAATTTAATAGCTTTCATGGCAAAAATCAAGTATGGGGGAGGAACTACCCCATTCCCAGCAAACACAAGCTCTGGTAACCCGGGTGGACAAAATACAACAGATTTATTCACATAATCAATAGATGCACAGTACTTCGTTAACCAATGCATACCAAATATGCAGTCAAAATGATCAATCCCCAAAGGCAATATATCAACATATAATGTCATGCCACCAATCACAATGTCACATACCGAATAAACATACGCACATACCATAGAGCCTCCAGATGGTGTAGATATAGATAACAAATAATTCATAGGTTCTAGTGGTCTAGTTAATTTTCGAGAGAAAGCATATGATATGAAAGAATGCGTAGAACCAGAATCTATAAGTATACATGCATTTTGAGAATAAATAGGGAGTATACCTGACACCACAGCTTCGGTGTTCTATACGTCACTAGGCACTAGTGCAACAACTCGGCCTTGTCTCAAGGTTTCTTTCCCAGTGTTAGCTCTCGTATTTATTCTGGCTGCAGAAGCGGATCCGGCTGAACTTGTAATCAGATGGTCGGCATTTTCAGATCTAAGTGGGCAATATCTCACTACATGACCCGTCTTGCTGCATCGAAAACAAGCACCAGATGCACGGTAACATACACCCGATGTTTCCTTCCACATTCAGGACAAACTGGTATGGACCCACAGCTCTGACTTGAACTACTTGTAGATCCCGTGTTCTGCTTCTTGTTTACAAAGAATGACCCTTCCTGAAACCGTACCCAGATTTTTTACCCTTCTATTCTGTTATTAGCGCTTTAACTTGTTTCTTTGCTGCTAGATTGGCTTCTGCCATCAATGCCCTATTAAGAACATCCACATACGAAGGTAGTTTTAGGACACCTACCCGATCAAATATATCTAAATCTAATCCATCCTCAAATTTTCGAGCTTTCTTGTAGTCTGTATCCGCCATATGAGGAGCAAATTGAGTTAGTTCAGTGAATTTAGCCTCATACTCGGCTACAGATATGTTGCCTTGCTTGAGTTCCTAAAATTCTGAAACCTTTCTGTCCTGAAAGCACTGAGGAAAGTACTTGTCATAGAAGATCTCATTGAATTGAGCCCATGTCATATTTCCATTGCCAGTTCGAATTAACAAACACAATCTTCGAGCTTCATCTTTTAGTATATAAGTGGCCAAAAGGACTTTCTGAGTCTCAGAGTAGGGAAATACTTCAAATAATTTTTCTATCTTGAGAAACCACATTTTTGCCGCGGTTTCATCTTCATGAATTTTTGAGTTAGATTGATGATGTCATTATTATCCGGTTTAACTTGGACTGGAGGAGGCGGAGGTTGTTGTCTTTGTTGCAGTATCATTGCTTCAGTTAGGGCTGTGAGTATTTGTTCCATTCAGCTCATGCAAGCTCAGCCTAACACACGCAAGCAAGGAACAAAACATGCAAACAACACTTAGATAAAACAAATCAAAGTCTGCAAATAGGCAAGCTTATTCAAGACAAGGATCATGCAATGCATGCAAGCATGACTAAGACAAGATGAGGGTTGTTATAATCATCATCTTTGCTAAACTTGTCAAATATTTTATCAATGTAATGTGATTATGACAATGCGTAACCTTATGAAATTTTGATAATTTTCATACCAAGAATTACATCAGTAATGTCCATGTCCTTCATGTCAAAATGTTTATTCAACATTTTCTTGGTAGTTTTAATTATGTCATTATTACTACCTATTATGAGCATATCATTCACATAAAGACATACAATGACATAACCTTTGTGTGTGTTTTTAATATAAACATATTTGTCACATTCATTAATTTTGAATCCATTTGACATCATTACTTTGTCAAATTTCTTATACCATTGCTTTGGCGCCTGTTTTAAACCATATAATGATTTAACCAATTTACACACTGTACGGGGAGCAAATATTCGTCGTTGTCCGTACTCCTTTCGTCCAAGCTCCGTGTCTATCTGATCAACCTGAAAGCAGAATGGCGGTGAGCTACCTGGCGGTGTGTTGTCGGAAACCCCTCCGACGGTCAAGTTAGCACACACTCAGAGAGAGAGAGAGAGAGAAACTCAATGAATGTAAGTCTATCTCACCAAATGATGTTCCATCCCCAGCATGGGGGGCGCAGTCATGCTTATATACTTTATGCGCCCAACTCTGCACCCATTAGTCTCTCGACACGTGGAGCTGCTCTCCCATCTGTCAGCACAAATCCAGCAGACACCACCTAACCAAACCGTCAGACAACATTAGCGGGAACTCGGCAGCTCGGCGGCATTAACTCGGCCTTCCACGACCGTGCTGCGTAACATGCCTGAGTGCTCCACTCGCCGAGCTCCATAACGGCCGAGCTTGGTAGCATTCCGGCAGAGCCGAGTTCAAGACAGGTCGGCCGGTAAACAGAAGACATTTCCCGCCGAGCTACGCGTGCAACCCATGGAACCCGGGTTGGCAGGCGGTGATCTCGACCAAGTAAGCTCAGTCCAAACATGGGACCTGGACCTCGAGCCTGGGCTCCGACCGAGCAAGATCAACTCCAGGGAAGCCCTAGTTAGCTCGGCCTAAACAAGGGGCCTGAGCCACGACCGAGTGAAACCCACTCGGTACAGGCCCAAATTAGCTCAGCCCTATCCAGTCCGGTTTCTTCCACGACCCAAAGCCAGATTACAAATCTCTCTTAAGTGCCCCTTAATTCCGTCCGCGCAAGCGTGACTGTGATTACCTGATCCGACCGGGGTAGCTTCTCCCTCGGTTATTAGTTCGCAAAACGTTAACCGCGCTAATCCCTAAGCTCGATTTCTTGATTTGCTCGGTTGACGTCTCAACTCGCCTTCATATCTCTTCAATACTAACGCCGCCGTCAATAGGGACACGCGTCGATTATTTATTGGCCTCGAGCAGCCAACCCAGCCGTCTCTTCATATTCAAATTTAGGCGGTTCTTTTCGCCTATAAACACGCCACTTCCCCTTCACATTTTTTTCTTACTCTCTCTCCTCCATTCCTAACGTCCCAAAGCTGCAGTGCCAACCTCCCAACTCAAACATCATTCTTGCTCTCACCTGGGTTTGTGCTCGAAGGTTCGTGTTCGAAGATTGGACTTTCGCCCTCATTCTAGTAAGTTCTTCGAACCCCTTTATTGTTTTTTTATTTGGTATTTCACATTCTAGAGCACAAAAACCATAGGTTTTAGGATATACCCGCCCAAAAACCTCCTCTCCCCCTGCACTCTTTACTGTTCTTCAACTTCAGTGATGAACACACTCAGATTTGGGGCGTACCGGGCTCTAGGTCTTCTTTTGATCCCAAAAAACATCAAAACCGAACAAGTTATGAGTTTGCAAGACTCACGTAGGAACTGAGGTAATAGAGTGCTGGACCGCTCAACCGGGCTAAAATCTGGTCCGCTTTAGCGACCGAGCTTCTGGGTTTAACCTTGTGACCGAGATAGTTAGGCACTCCATTTGACCAAGCTAAAGTCAAGCTCGTTTCGCGCGACCGCTTACACTTACACTTCTTTTTACTGTAGAGTCCAAGGGGACCACACACCAATACTGAGGCTCTCTAAGGCCGAGCAGCCATCAACCGAGAAATTTGCCAAACCAACCTAGCCGTGCTAAAACTAGCCAACTACACATAGGGCGCTACTGCTTCCCGGTTGACA